AGACCTGGTGAAGACACAACCTCCGCAGCAAACCAGCAGTAATTCGGTCGCCAACAGCAACCAGCATTTGCCCAGAATAAATATCCCTACGTTCACCGGTCGCATCGAAGAATGGTCGGCGTTTTTCTCACTGTTCGATTCGGTTGTCCACAAAAACGATGCGTTATCAGAAGCTGAAAAATTCCAGTATTTGCGCTCTTATCTGCGAGATGACGCATTAACAGTCATTGCCAATTTTCATCTAACCCCCGAAAATTACGCACTGGCGTATGAGGCATTGCAACTTCGCTACCAGAATAAAAGACGGTTGGCGACTCACTGCGTCAATCAAATTCTAGGTTTTACTCCTTTATCATCCCCAAGTTCTAGCAGTTTGAGACATTTTTTGAATATTCATTCGAATTCCATTAATGCTCTTAAGGCTTTGAATCTTCAAGACCTTGGTGATTTTTTGCTGTTTCAATTATCGTTTGCAAATTTGGATCCTGTATCTAGAAAAGCTTTTGAGAATAGGCAAAGTTCAAATTCCGTTCCCAGCTATCAGGCGTTAATTGATTTCATAACGGATCAGAATCGAACGTACGAACTTCTCTCTCAGGACACAAAATCACCGAAATGTAAATCTCTATCAGTTAAGTCATTCCGTGCTTCACTCATGACAAATGCCAAATCCGATGCCCCCTATACGTGCTCTGTCCCGTGCGTGCTCTGCAAAGGTTCACATCCCTTTCCGGCATGCAGCGAATTTCTCCAGAAAACAAATGAACAGAAATATGATACGTTGAAGAGATTGAGACGATGTTTCAACTGTTTGGGTGCTCATAATCGAAATGAATGTCAATCTCGTAAAACTTCTCGTATTTGTCACAGCAACAAGCATCACTCCGTGTTACACCAGGAGTCCAAGGCGGATACCTCCGAAACTAGTACTTCTCCCTCTGTAGAGGAAAGAAAATCTCCCGTTGTGTTTTCGTGCAAGACCTCAGCGGAGCGCAACACTGTTTTACTAGCGACTGTGACAGCCCAGATCCAAGACTGTAATGGAGATTATCACAAGATAAGAGCTGTGGTTGATCCCGGCTCTCAAGTATCAGTGATTACTTCATCAACGGCGCAACATTTGGGATTAAAAAGAAGCAGATCTCCCATTGAAGTTACTGGCATCGCCAGTTTTCCTGTCAGAACTCAAGGTCTCATTCGTACCACTCTACGCTCTAGAACTCATGCTGATGTCGTAAACGTTCACGCTGTTGTACTTTCGGATATTCCTAATAAATTTCCTAGTCAGACGTTACCTTCTCACATTAAGGATCAGTTCAGTCATCTAACGTTAGCTGATGAAAACTTCCATCAAGCTGCTCGAGTTGAATTCTTAATTGGAGCAGATCTATATCCTCACATTTTATGTAATACGCAGCCTAATGTTATTCAAGGACAACCCTCTGCCATTGACACAATCTTTGGATGGATAATTATAGGCTCGATTTCATCTTCAACAAATTCCCCCTTGTGTTCTCTTCTCACATGCACCGATTCTCTTGATGATACCGTTCGTAATTTTTGGGAAACTGAGACTCTCGCTGATAACCTTTCAGTCTCCAATCCTGAAGATGACTTTTGTCAAGCTCATTTCAAGGACACGCACTATCGCGATCGCTCAGGCAGATATGTGGTATCAATGCCAGTCCGTGAGCAGCGCTCGCCGCTTCTCAGCAACCGAGAGACAACTCTGAACACTTATCTCAAAATGGAAGCTCGAATGTCTCGGCGTCCCCAACTCAACGCTGCTTATATTACTTTTCTCCAAGAATACCGCGATCTCGGACATATGCAACTAGCCGCACAACCTTCCATGTACGTAATGCCTCATCATTGTGTTCAAAAGGAAACTAGTTCAACTACCAAAGTGCGAGTTGTGTTTAACGGATCCTCCCCTGACTCAAACGGGACAACGCTTAATCAGCAACTTCTGCCCGGTCCTAAGCTACAAAAGGATTTGAGCCACATTCTCATGAATTTTCGCCTTCATGCTATAGCAGTCACAGCGGATATTCGACAGATGTATAGACAGATTTGGTTGAATCCAAAGCAACGTTATCTCCAGCACATATTCTGGAGGCCAGATCCCGCTTCTAATGTGCAGGAGTATGAGTTAAAAACAGTGACATATGGTTTAGCACCATCAGCATATCTTGCTCAACGTGTCCTTCTCCAGCTCGTCGAGGACGAAGGGCATGAGTTCCCATTGGCAGTACAAGCTATCACAGAAAGCACCTATGTGGACGATATTGCGCATGGTGCCTCTACAGTTGAGGAAGCGAAGTCGCTACAGTTACAACTCGCAAACCTACTCACTCGTGGCGGTTTCCAGCTGAGAAAATGGGCTAGTAATGATCCAATTGCTCTAGATCATGTTCCAGAACAGCATCGTGAATCTCCGTTGAATTTCTCAAGTGACGATCCTTCTATTAAGATTCTTGGATTACGGTGGGATCCTCGGTCTGATACTTTCACCTATTATGTACAAGAATTTGATTCTCAAGTTACCAAGCGCACTGTTCTTTCTTATATCGCTCGAGTCTTTGATCCCATGGGGTGGTTGTCTCCAATTGTATTTTGGGCTAAGCATTTTCTGCAACAGATATGGATCTCTAAAGTGGGCTATGATGATATCCTGCCGCCTTCCCTATCGGAGGCTTGGGGAAGGTTTTCTTCTCAAATGCGGTGTCTACGCGCACTTAAAATTCCTCGATACATTCTCCAAAGTTTGCCACGTTTGCTCTTGGTGGGATTCTCGGACGCTTCCTCTAAAGGATACTCCGCTTGCATCTATTTACATGCGTATGATTCCAGTAGCACTTGCAGCAATCATCTTTTGAAGGCCAAGAACAAAGTGGCACCCCTCAAGACATTGACTATTCCTCGATTGGAACTCTGTGGAGCATTGTTATTATCAAGACTACTTCGTGATGTGATTAAATCTCTTAAAGCCGTAAGATTTGAAAATGTTCATCTCTATACCGATTCTCAGATTGTCCTTGCATGGCTCCACACCTCTCCTCATCTTCTCAAAACCTACGTGGCCAATCGTGTAGTTCGCATATTAGAGCATACATCTCTTCACCAATGGGCACACACAGTGTCGAATCAAAATTCAGCCGACTTTGCGTCTCGAGGATTATTTCCCGAAGAGATCATGGATTGTCATTCCTGGTGGAATGGACCAGATTTTATGCAGAATCCGCCGTCCAAGTGGCCCGTAAGAGGCGATAATTATGTCGCACCCGAAGAGCTCCCTGAGCGTAAAAACGATCCTATAGTTTTGCGCATCCAAGCCGACCCAGAAAATCCTCTGTATGAAGTTGTGTCACGATTTTCTTCATTTAGTAGACTACAACGCGCTTTCGCATTTATTCGCCGATGGCTACTCCGAATAAGATGTCCCGAGATGAAGGGTCCACTCTCAAGCGAAGAGATGCGATACTCGACCTTATCGCTTGTGCGTCTCACACAGCAAAACCATTTTCCTCTGCTTATAGAAGAGTTGCGTTCCAAAGGTCACACCACAACTCCATTAAGGAAGCTGTTCCCATTCTTGGATGCAATGGGTATAGTTAGGGTGGGCGGACGGCTACGACACTCCGCCCTGCCCCTAGATGCGAAACACCCTCTGCTTTTACCTCAGAAAGCTCATCTCTCGGCTTTAATTTGCGACTACTATCATCTGTACGCTTGCCACGCTGGACCTAGAAGCGTGCAGACGCTTATACAGCAGAAGTTCTGGATAATATCGATTCGATCCCTCCTACGGCAGCGCATTTTTCGCTGCATTCGCTGTTTTAAGTTTAAATCGAAACCTGTATTTCCCTTCATGGCTGATCTACCACCAGCTCGAGTTCAACCTAGCAAACCGTTTTCCTCTGTTGGCATTGACTTTGCCGGACCCTTCACGGTCAGGGAAAGTCGTCGACGTAAGGCCCACACATACAAAGGGTATCTCTGTTTATTCATATGTATGTCTACGAAAGCGGTCCATTTAGAAATGGTCTCGGAACTCTCCACGAAAGCCTTCTTAGCCTCGCTCAACAGATTCACCGCACGCCGTGGTCTACCCTCTGACATATACTCTGATTGCGGACGTAACTTTCTCGGCGCCGCTCGCCACCTGAGGGAGGTGAGTCAGTTTCTACGTTCGCACTCCTCTGAGATAACGAGTTCCTTAACTTCTTTGGAGATAAAATGGCATTTTAACCCTCCAGCCGCACCCAATTTTGGCGGCCTATGGGAGGCTGCGATCAAATCCGCAAAGAGTCTCTTGTATCGATCAATCGGCACCTCTCTCTTAACTTTCGAAGAGTACAGCACGCTATTTTGTAAGATTGAGGCGGTATTGAACAGCCGTCCCTTATGTGCCGTCACCTCTAACCCCGAAGATGCTGTAGATTACCTAAGCCCTGGACATTTCTTAGTCGGCAGACCGTTATTGCAACCTCCTGAAGCTCCCTTGGAGGACAACTTGAATTGGACCTGTCGGTGGCAACTACTCTCCCAGCTGTATCAGCGGTTCTGGAAGAGGTGGTCTACGGAGTATCTCCATACTCAACTCCAACGTCAGAAGTGGAATAAGGATCAACCAAACATTCAACCCGGCGCCATTGTCGCATTGTATGGCGCAGAGACTACCCCCCTTTCATGGCCGTTAGGACGCGTACAAGAGGTACATCCTGGAACCGATGGAGTCGTCCGTGTGGCCACAGTGAAAACCGCGACCGGTTTATATACGCGTCCGGTAAACAAGCTCGTGATTCTCCCAACCCAATTCTCAATGGAGAATTGAGTGAACTCTCATAATGTACATAAGGAACTCTCTTTAATTTTCGTTTAATTTTTCGTTAAATTTTGTTAAAATTTGGTGGGCGGTTATGTTCGAACAATAATTGCTCCATTCCGGCGCACGCGCGAGTGAGCGGAAGTAGTACGCTACTGAACGTAAAAGGTGCATGAGTGAACGGTTTTTCCTCTCGCGTGTTCCTCGTTGTACTTCTCAACATCAGGCTACCAAGAACCAGGGGCCCCTGTCACCTACAGCAGGATACTCCAGGTTAGTGGTACTTCTCAGTTATTCTCGGTCCTTCGCGCAAAGTTAAGTCACGGCACCCCGCGTGCACAGGCTTATTTTTGTAACAACAAATTTCAAAACATTATTTCTATGGAAAAATTAACTACACAAGAACGTGAGCAGTTTGAATCCTCACAAATATGTCATATATGTAAAAAAACATTTTCAGAAAATAACGTTAAAGTGCGCGATCATAATCACTTAACTGGAATGTATAGGGGTGCTGCACATCAGAGTTGTAATTTAAATTATAAAGATATTTGTGTTATACCTGTGGTGTTTCATAATATGAGTGGATATGACGCACATTTTTTTGTTAAAGAACTTTCAAATTCAATAAAAGGTGACATTAAATTGCTTCCGATCAATAAAGAAAGATATATTTCATTTACTAAATTTGTCGATGATACAAAAGTTAGTTTACGATTTATTGATTCTTTCAGATTTATGCCCTACAGTTTAGACAAGCTTTCTTCCAATTTAGATAATTCACAAAAAATTATTACTCAGACAAATTGTAATAATATGGAAGAATTTTATTTGTTAAACAGAAAAGGAGTGTTTCCTTATGATTATATAAATTCCTGGGAGAAACTCCTTGAAACAAAACTACCCGAAAAAAAGGATTTTTATAGCCGCTTATACGAACAAGATATTAAAGATGAAGATTATTCTCACGCTATCAAAGTTTGGAATACTTTCAATATTCGTACATTAGGAGAATATTCCGATTTATATTTAAAAACAGATGTGCTTCTTCTATCCGACGTATTCGAAGCATTTCGAACTACGTGTTTAAATACTTATCAACTTGATCCCTTACATTATTATACTGCACCAGGCTTAACATTTGATGCCATGTTAAAAACGACAAAAATTAAACTAGAACTCTTAACGGATATAGATAAAGTCCTTTTTGTCGAGAGAGGTATTAGAGGTGGAGTTTCCCAGTGTTCTAATAGATACGGTAAAGCCAATAATAAGTACATGAATAAAGACGAATATGATCCTTCACAAGATAGTACCTATTTAATGTATTTTGATGTTAATAACCTTTACGGAGCGGCAATGTCTCAATGTTTACCGTATGGGAAATTTGAATTTGTAGAAAATTTCAATATTTCAGATATCTTAGATACTTCTGATAATTCCACAACTGGTTATATTATTGAATGCGATTTGGATTATCCAGTAGATTTGCATGAAATACATAGCGATTTACCTTTAGCTCCAGAGCACATGATACCTCCCATTTCAAGGTCTAAACTTAAAAAGTTGTTATTGACTTTATATCCTAAGAAAAATTATGTTATACATTATAGGAATTTAAAAATGTATATAAAATTTGGTATGAAAATAAAATGTGTACATCGTGTTCTTAAATTCGAACAGTCTGCGTGGTTAAAGGAATATATAGACTTAAATACAAGGCTTAGACAGCAAGCGAAGAACGATTTTGAAAAAGATTTTTTTAAATTAATGATTAATGCTATTTATGGTAAATGCATGGAAAATGTTCGAAAACATAGGGATATTCGATTGGTCAGTAAATGGGAGGGACGATGGGGAGTTCGTTCTCTTATTTCTAAACCAAATTTTCACAGTTCAGTTGTATTTGATGATGATTCAGCTATCATCGAAATGAGTAAATTAGAGGTGTTTTTAAATAAACCAATTTATGTCGGTTTTTGTATTTTAGATATTTCTAAAACTTTTCTCTATGAATTCCACTATGGTTATATTAAGGAAACATTTAACAATAATGCAAAGTTGCTTTACACCGACACTGACAGTCTAATTTACGAATTTCATGTAGGTGATATATACGAATATATTAAGAAAGATTCTCATCGGTTTGATACTTCGGACTATGATTTGTATAATGTTTATGGTATAGAACAAAAAAATAAAAAAGTGCCAGGTTTGATGAAAGATGAAAATAACGGTAAGATTATGTTAGAATTTGTGGGTCTCAGATCGAAAATGTATGCATATAGAGTTGCAAAGGATGATTTTAATAAAAAAGTAGTTAAGAAATCCAAAGGTAGTACGAAAGCTTCACTTAAAACAATAACATTCGAAAATTATAAAGAATGCTTATTTAATAGCCGAAATTACGAAAAGTCCCAAAATCTCATCAAATCAAAACATCATATTGTTTACACAATAAAACAGGAGAAAATAGTTCTCAGCCATAATGATGATAAGAGAATTGTTACAAGATTTGCAACGGATACGCGACCTTGGGGATATCATATTTCGCCACCAGAAATGTGAAGAGTGGGGAATTATAATATAAAAACAGTTTAAGTTAGCTGATGATTTATTCGATGTTGGTGATTTCACATTACTACAATGTCTGACTTGAGACAATTTGTTGATTTGCAAGCATTTTGTGCATCCGAAAATGTGTATAAAATTTATCTTCGCGCCGCTGCGAATGATAGGACAAAATTAAATTTGTTCCTTTACATTATTGAAAAAGCAGAATTTATTGTACCGGATGAAGTGTTTAAATGGATTGCTGAAAATGAAGTTGGTTTTTTTACTCTTGACATATGTGTACTCCTACAAAAGAAACAATCTCTTGACAGCTATATTGATGCATTTCTACATATATGTGAAAGAGACAACATTGAAAATTTAAATTATGCTTCTTTGGAGTTTTTAATAACCACCAACTACCTTGATAATTCACTAGTTTATAAATCTTTTATTTATAAATTATTAAGTGATCATCGCTGGCAGAATCTGGGGGATATCTTCTATCCTGTTGAAAATATCCAGAAAAATTATCGACGGATCGAGCAATGTGTTGACGAATTTATGTGTCGAGCTGCATATTTGGCAAATCACAAAGCACTCACTACATTCTTTGAGGCTCTAACGATAATCAATTACGATTCCTTCACATCTAAACCCTCTGAAAATCAGGAGCACAAAAGAATTTTCACCTGGCTCAAAAAGAACATTGTCAAAGGCGAAGCTAATCCTGAATTACCATTAGGATGGACCGAAGGACCAGATGAAGCAAGATGGCCCTTAATTAAATTAGATGATTATAAGTATAAGAAAACTTTAGATGTAATTTTTGGTTCTCATAAATAAAATACACAAAAATGGTTGTATATGTAGTTTTATTTACCCCTCAAACATAATACATTAATTTTAAATACAGTAACATTTTAAATTATTCACAACACTCTGACGACATCTTGTGCAGGAATGTATTTTACCATTCGGTCGTGAAGAATAAGACAGTAGGCTGTGGTGTCTGCTGGAATACCTGCGGTCGTTTCAAACCACAACGTAATTGTAACGGGGCCTCTCTTCAAAGCTTCCGTTTGTTTAGAACAGTCGATTACTACTATGGGTGTCTTTTCTTTAAATTCATCCTTATCGAATAATGGCTCGCTAGTTTTGGATAAGAACGATGTCTGGAACTCTTTAAACATATCATAGAGAATTGCATAACGATTATTTGTGAAATCAACATTCAAGTTGTCGTAGGGATACATGGTATCGTTAAGATACAATTTGACATCTCTCAGATTACAATGATCAAATTGACTGTAGTTTTTCTTCAATTGATTTTTTCTTCCCTGTTGCAATGCAAAAAGTATGTACTGAGGTTTTTCTAAGGAAGTTTTAATAGTCCAAGTATTAGTTATCGATTGAACTGGTGGCGCAAATTCATGTAATTCTTTACTTCTAAACATAATATCCAATTCCCTGTTGCTTCTTACAATATCGATCAAGGCGATCCTTTCGGCATCGGACACGGACAAGTGATGCATTTTCCAGCATATTTTACTAAGTTCTACTTTAATTTTGTATTTATCATTTGAAGAAATTAAAGCATTTACATCGGTATTAGAACGAACTAAAACAAGCTCTTGTCTTACATTCAAAATAGCCTTTTTGAAATCTTCGCAAAAGCCAAAAATTATTTTTAATGGAATCGAAACTTCAAAAGTTCCATTTTCTTTAATTATATTCGAATCTTTTTTAGGAAACCATCCAGCATTCTCTAGAGCTACGCTTTCATTACTGTTATACGTTACATATCCTTTCATGGTGGACGCTAACCCTGGGTTTCTAATACTATCCACAACGACTCCAGCAATTTCATATCTTATTTGATTAAACAACAAAAGAACGCCATTATTTACAAATTTGATTTCTGGTTTCTGTACAATTTCATCGATTTCATTTTTCACAATAATCTTACCCTCTATATGCAATGTACTCAAATGAGGAAAAGTGTATAAATCTTGATGTTCAATAGGAATTCTTATTTCATCATCATAGTTATATGAACTGTTAGAATAAGGCAAGTGGGTATGTCTTTCTCCATAATAAATTGAATGATCATATGCAGCTTTTTCGTTTACGTTTAATATTTCAAAATTCATTGCTGTTTTTTATACTGGATAAAAATATTATTTCAAAACCGTTAATCCTAGAGATTCAAGAAATCTACGATTCCCTAATGTTAAACGTTTGATCCTTGTAGAAGGACTGACTGATTTTCTTTTCATCGTCCTATTTATATATACCGAATTTCGGTTTTTTAGATTTTCATTAAAAATAAAACCCATCACGTAAGCTTCTTAAGATGCAAACGTACACCCACCTCTTCACCTCTAAAACTAACAATATTTCCTTCTTGATCTGTTATTTTAACGATTATCTCATCTATTTGTTTCGTATTAATTGGTAGATATATAACATTTAATGGTCGCTCCACTATTTTGTAACCGGGAGGTACTGTTGGAAAAAATTGATGTATTACGTGAACGGGATTTCCGTTCTTATATGGACCAGTTACTATATTACAATAAACGCAAAGAGCATTCACTTTTAAAATTTTTGCTGGAAAATCTGATATATGAGTTTTATGCGCTTTCAGAATGTTGTTCTTAAATCCTAATAAACTTCCTAAGGAATCCTTTCTTGAAAAATTTATATCAAGGGTACATTTAACTTCCGATTTTAATGTATTATTATTTCCTCTGATTATTAAGTTTGGTGTTGACATTTTAAATTTCTTTATTCTATTTCCGTATTCGTCAGTTTGGTATTGAAAATAATGTTCCATATAGTTTTTGATTTCTTTATTTAAATACGACTCAATGTCTTCTATCTCATAAGAACCCTCGGGAATTTCTATATAATGCTCTTTTTTGTCTGGTGTAAAAAAATAAAATTTGTTATTATTGTTATCGATATTTGGAAAAGAATTCCAAGTAACCAAACTTTCTAATCCTAAAGCATAGTTATAATCTTCCAAGATAATTGGTGGATAGTATCTGCTCGAAAGTACAGAACTGTTTCCATTCAATGAAAATACGTTCGACATCGTAGTACTTGCTTCAACGACACTATCAATTGAACTAAAACGCTCTAACTTCGAACAATCTTATTTGTAACAGTTATATAGAAATCGTAGACATAAATGTCCACAATTAATAGTTTTAAAAGTCTGTAAAGCTTGATGATTATATACTATATTACAGGAACCGTTGCTCTGTAAATATTTGATCAGTTCAAGAGGTGGCCTCAAATCTCCATAACTATCGAAGTATATAGCTTCATTTCGAGTTTTTTTATAAGCTGTCCAATGTGTTCCAGAACCTTCCTTATTGTCTAGATTTAATATACCACACTCATTAAGGTGCACTTTATTTGGAAGCGAATCTTTCATAAAAACTCCTCTGAAGCGAGGAATTTTCAAACGCTTTACATATTTGCAAATGTCGATGTTGGTGAGAGCATGTTTTGGAAGATTTATCGGGAGTTCTTTTGAAATTTTGATGGGGCTAAAAAAAGACCATATCCTCTTTTATATGGTTTCAAATATAATCCACTCCCTGACTTTCCTACAGCTATCGACTCCATTTTCTGATTGTGTCTTTGGTTTTCTTTCAACTGTTCTTTAGCTGATTTAGCATCGTTAACAGCTTTTGCAACGGCTGCTGCACCACCACCTAAAGATCCCAGAGCGCCTAAAGCGGCAAATATTGGTAGTAGAGGTAAAAATCCACCACTTTTCGGTATGGGTATTATACGTCTGTGACGAAGAGGTCTCACTCTCTTTTTTCCTTTTGATGATTTTACTGCTCTCATGGCCACTTTTACAGCATCGTTCATATTCTTAAATTTCTTATTTTTTAAAGCAAGCCTGGCGGATTTTCTTAAAACGTTAAAATTCAAGGCCTTTCCACGTCTAATAGTTTTTCTTTTGATTCGACAACCCATACCAAGTTTTATTTTAGCTTTCATAGCAGCCACAACACCTAAAGCAGCAGCTTTTTCCCCGAAAGATGCGTCCGAAGAACGTAGTCTAAGTTTTGCTTTATCTAATAGAACTTTATCGGCTTTATGTCGATTTTCCAAATCTTTATGTTCACTGTAAGCTATATCGTGAAATTTGCAAGCTTCGTCTAATTGATTTCGACCTTTATCTCCTCTTGCTAATCGTTTTTCTAATTTAGTTCCTGGTCCACAAAAGTTATAACCCGGAATATGAAGTTCAAACGGTAATTTATTAATAACCGAATTTACGATCCCACGTCCACAATATGTTTTTCTGTAGGTCTCACTACGACGACTGTTCCTTGTTCGCTTCGTAATCTTCATTTATACTCAAACTTTCGTTTCAGCTAAAATACTAATGGAATCGTAGAAAAATTTAGTATTTATACCCCTCCACATGTCGGTTTCTTAATTAGATGTCGAAATGCGTTTGATCCCTCAAAACCTTAAATTGCCGATAAGCAATAACGATATCAAAATTAACAGTGAGAATAAAAGACACGGAGATCTTTTACCATCGACAGTAAGATGTATTATTGTCGGACCGTCTAATTGCGGAAAAACTAATGTTATGATAGGTTTAATCGAACATCCAAATGGTTTAAGATTTGAAAATGTCTACGTGTATTCTAAATCTCTTTTCCAACCAAAATATCAATATTTGGAAAATCTTCTAAAACCTATTAAAGGTATAAATTTTTATAGTTTTAACAATTTCGACAATAACAACATACCACCAGCGCACAAAGCTAAAACTAATTCTGTCTTCATTTTTGACGACGTGGCATGTGACAAGCAAAATTTAATGAAAGAATATTTTAGCATGGGACGACACAGAAATATAGATTGTTTTTATTTATGTCAAACATACACATGTATTCCTAAACATCTAATAAGAGACAACGCCAATTTTATTATTTTATTTAAGCAAGATAATTTAAACTTGCGTCATATTTATG